ACAAAGTGTGCTCATCAATGGCATGTTTTCAAATTGGAGGCAGGTAACTAGTGATGTGCTGCAGGGTTCAGTCCTAGTCCCAGTGCTCTTCAACATCTTTCTTAATTATTTAGATGAGGAAGTACAAGGAACAATAATCAGATTTGCAAATGATACAAAACTGCTCAACCACCAGGAAACTCTTCTGTTCTTACGGGCTCCCCACTTCTACCTACCTTCAGTATACCTGCGCTTACTAATTGCGCTGTTGCATAGAGAATTGAATCTAAATGACAAGGTTATAAAGATGCTGTAAATGGACTTTATTTCTGCTGGAAAAAGATTGGTTACTTTCAGTGAAGCAGGGACTACAGAAGAGTTGATACGTTTTGATATAAAAATATACACAGAAAAATAATGAATTGACTGAAAGCACCCTACCTACTGGTAAAAAAATCCATTAGATGGTTCTGTTCCAAAGTAGAAAGTAGAATGGTAGAAGATACAACATCTGAGCCATGGAAAAAAAGAATGCGTAATGGCAACCATGGAATGACATCCTTCCATGTCTATGTGGGCTTAAAACGAGGTTTAAATTATAAGGATGGGGGAGAATGAAAGCCTTTGTATTTTGGTACATTCTGCCAAGTATCCACCCAAAGTGCATCCTCTTTATGGATTGAGCAAATCAGTAAACAAGAACATGCCAGAATGGAAGATAATGGGTTAAAAAAGGTAGGTGTTTTGAGGTGAAGGACCAGTGGCATAACTGGCACTATTATTATTATTATTATTATTATTATTATTATTATTATTATTATTATTATAACATTTCTATGCCACCCCTTGCCGAAACCTCGGGGCGGCTTACAACATGATAAAATACATTGAAATACAATAGTACATAATAAATTACCATTAAATATAAAAATACAAAAAATACATTGATTTACAAAAATAAAATTATCAGTATAAAATAAAAATATAGGAGGAGAAAGAGAAGGAAGAAGAAGTTGCCCTGGCCAGATCATATGTTTTAACAATTGAAATGATGTTTAAATAAAAAGGTCTTTACCTGGCGCCGAAAAACCAGTAACGACGGTGCCAGGCGGACCTCTTTGGGGAGTGAATTCCATAGGTTGGGCGCCACTGCAGAGAAAGCCCTCCTCCGGGTACTTACTCTCCTAATTTCTTTCATGGAGGGTTCCCGGAGAAGGGACTCTCCCGCAGATCTCAAAGGGCGGTCGGGCATATACGGACGTAAGCGCTCGTTCAGGTAGCCAGGACCCAAGCCGTTTAGGGCTTTGTAGGTCATAATCAACACCTTGAATTGGGCCCGGGCTTCAATGGGAAGCCAGTGAAGATGACGGAGGACTGGAGTCATGTGAGCATAACGCCCCGTCCCCGTCAGCAACCTGGCAGCTCTATTTTGCACCAATTGAAGTGTTCGGACTGTCTTCAGGGGAAGCCCCACGTAAAGCGCGTTACAGAAGTCTAGGCGGGAAGTCACCAGCGCGTGTGTCACCGTCGCCAGGCAGTCGTACTCCAGGTAGGGGCGCAGCTGATTAATCGGCCGAAGCTGAAGGAAGGCGTTCCTCGCTACCGCTGTCACCTGAGCTTCCAAAGAAAGCTCCGCGTCGAGGAGTACTCCTAAGCTGCGGACCTTATCCTTAAGAGGGAGTGTTGCACCATTCAGGACCAGGTCAAATCCACCCTCTCCGAAACCCGATCCGCCAACCAACAGGACCTCCGTCTTGTCTGTGTTGAGTTTCAGTTTATTGGCCCTCATCCATTCCCTTACCTAGGCCAAGCACCGGTTCAGCACAGCCACTGCCTCACCTGGATTAGTGGAGAACGAGAGGTAAAGCTGGGTATCATCAGCGTATTGATGATTCCGCAGCCCACACCTCCTGATGACCTCTCCCAGCGGTTTCATATAGATGTTAAATAGCAGAGGGGATAGAATGGAGCCCTGTGGTACCCCATGGCATAGCTGCCATGACGTAGAGACATGGTCCCCCAGCACTACCTTCTGGAATCGACCGTCGAGATAGGAGTGGAACCACTGCAAAGCAGTGCCTCCAACCCCCAATCCCGCAAGTCTATCCAGAAGGATACCATGGTCGATTTTACCACTTGTTTCATAATGTTTGCAAGAACTGTAAGTAAAAATAGAGGATCGTATTCCATAAAGTTGTAATTGATTCGTTCCCAGATGTGACGAAATAGGAGTGAGCAGACATACTGTTCTGTACTACAAACCTTAGTTTAAATAAGATTAAAAGAAGTAAGTAAAATGCAGGAAAGAGGAATATCCTTAACTTGAGACCTAGTATGCATTTTTGATTTAGATAAGAAACCTATCTTATGGCATCTGAAAAAACCTTGATGGCAGAAGCAACTGGACACATTTTTTTTTTAACTACTGTGTGAGTGATCTTAAGGTGATAACTTCCTACATCTCTTACATATTACACATGGAAGAAGAGACTGTATCTTAATGTAATTTCTTGGCTTCTGCAACAACTGACACAAGACACCACAATGTTAGGTGGCAGTTGGCACACTTGCCGTATTTTTCTGTCTATAAGACACTCCCATGTATAGGACGCCCCCCACTTTTCCTACCCATCTCCAGCGAATAAGCTGCTGCCGTGCGCATGCATGCTGTTTCGCTGCCCCACCCCACAGCGCCGCGCTGCTCCCCCCACACGTGTCAGTCTCCCCCAGCGTGCCCGTGGCCCCCCGTGTATAAGACACACCTTCAAGTAAATGTTTTAAATAAAAAGTGACTTATACACAGAAAAATACGGTAAATCAGACACTTACTGGGAGTGGAATATAGCAGTGGCCAAACATAGTCAAACTACAAAACTGGGAAGGGAGATTTAGCTTGCTTATTTGTATGTACTTGGATTTGTGAAGTCACATTTTTCTCTCACACCAGTTCTCATTTGCTTGAAAAGAAGGATGTGTAGGCATGGTGTCAGTTATCAAGCTGCTGCAGCACCTTGGAAAACAGCAAACATTCAACACTGATGATACCTGGAGGCCTTCTATGGAAGGTGTGGAACCTAAACTACCCTGCTTCACACTTCTGCAGATGAGCTGCAATTGGACAAGTGGAGCAGATCTGGGACACTGTGAAGCGGCAGTGAGCAGCTCTGCACCGAGGAATCCCTTTGGGGGATGTCAGGAAGCTGGCTAGCTGTGAGAAAAGAGAAAGTTTCTCATGAAGAGGGTCAAGAAAGGAGTGTGTATATATGTAGATAGATACGAGTAATTTATATGTGTAATTACCTTCTCATGCCATATTGGATTTCTTGAGTAAACATACATGAGCTTTGGTTGAAACAAAGCCAAAGATACTAGAACTGCTGGACAGAAATCAAAATTAAGGATTTGGCTGATTAAGTTTAGGAATAGGAGTAGGTAGACAATTCAGAAGGAAAGAGAATGGAGATGCACAGGACTGGTCTGTTGGCCAAAATGGGGCCATGTCCTGGTGTGCAGAATGCCCAAATTAGGCAGTGGAAATATTTTTCTTTTAAAGATTTTTTTCTTGAGATTAACCAGCTGCCAATGAATCGTTCCAGAATGGTGTGCCTGAGCAGTCCTCCTCTGCCCTTTTATACATTAAGCCACTAAAGGGTTACACACGACACTGTTACCACTTTCTAATAGTGTGACAATTATTCTGCATATCAAAGTAGAAAAAATGTTCCAAAGGTGGGAGGGAATGTTCCTCAGAGATGGAGGGAGGGTGTCAATTGCTCTTCTAGCTGCTATCATTCAGGTCAACTGGTCTACTTTGAGAAACTGCCTGAACAGGGCAAAACATGCTACTCTAAAAACTGCTAGCTCTAGGCAGGAGGGTCTACCCTTTGCTAATGATTCCATGATTTATCTATACTATAGCTATTAATTTGCTCATTAGGTCCATAATAGCTTGGAACTGGGAAGTGAGCGATCTCCCCAAACCGCTGTCCCTTCTGGAGTACTCAGAATGATAGTGTACAACGGGGATAGACAGGTTTCATGTTTACAGAATCGAGTATCAGAACTGAATGGTGTTTCTGGTCTTCCTTCGACTCAAAAACCTCCACAATATAATTTAGTGAGCTAAAAGAGAAGAACTACTTTGTTGCTCCTGTTGCTGAGCCGCTGGAATCAGAAGTCTTCGCCGATCGACAGCGAATCATCCATACTACCAGCAGAATAAGATCTACCTGCTGCCCATGCGTGGTGCAGAGACATACCAGCTAGGGACCCGAATGTTTGCATTCAACTCCCTACTATTTTGTGATTTCACGTCGCTGTGGCTTCAATTGATTCAAGTTCCTACAGGGCAAACACACGAAGAAGCTGGCTCTGGCAAGAACAGTGGTTGGTTATTTGAGACCCGGGACTTAATGGCGGCGAGGGTGAAGGCAACCTAGACAGGATTTTCCCTTCCATATCCCCCAAGTAGCACGAGAAGTTTTGCATTTTAAAATTGTCAAAGCACAACCGTGAGTATAATAATAAACTCGAGCTTTCTTATGCTTCATTACCTGCTACTCAGGGATCATGGTCATTTGAAGAGAGGACAGACTGTCAAGGGGAGCTTACATAAGGATGAAGCCTCACAGCCTGGCTTAGCTGGAATGTTGGGAGTTGTAATCCAGCACATTTTGGGAAAGATAGTAGGTTGGGGAAGGCTGCATCTATGTTAGTCGAAGGCTTAAATTAGCTAGGCTCTTTAATTTCGATCTCAAGATATAGATTGCTACAACTTTCTACCGATTGTACAATTTTCCTTTCCGGCTACCTTAATGCTGTCAACCCACATCCAAATAAACACAAGCAGTAGTCCTCACGCTCCCACAAGGCTCTTCGTCTACCAAACGAAAGCGTTCCGAAAACGACACTTTCCAGGAGTCACGATTCCGCGCCCTCGAATTGGCTACAGCGCGCACCTACGTCACTCTCACCCCCTCCAATCAAGAAGGCGAGTGGCAGAGTTTGATTGTGCCGTTGCTCGCACTGGCATCCGGGCGTGGAATTTGGCGGCGCCCCGCGCAACTGCCGGGAAGGGGCGCAAGCGAGGAAGAAGAGGAGGCGGCCTCGCGTGTTGGGTGCGTGGCTTTCTCTCTGGGGGCGTTTCAGCCGCGGGGTCGAAAGTCTCTTGCTCAGAGCCAGAGGTCTGAGAGCGCGGAACGCTCCCCTCAACGGCTGGGCCCTGGGTCTATCAAACACCTGTTGAGGGCTCGTACCCCCGCTCTTACTCTCCCTTCAGCTCCAGCCAGGATGGCCAGAGGTCGGGGATGATGGGGATTGCAGCCCAACCACATCTTTCTGTGGCGATCTTTAGGAAATGTTACATTATTTTCTCTGCGCACGCACTTTTCTCCCGTCGCCCTTATATTTTGGTGGGTTGAGGTGTCTGTTGGTAGCGCTGAGACATTTATTAAAAAAAAAAAAGTTACATGTACATCACACTTTTTCCCCCGTTCCAGGGAATCCAGGGTGGCTTGCCTGGTCCTCTTGCTCTATTTTTATCCTCCACAACCATCCTGTGAGGTAGGTTAGGCTGAGAGTCGGAGTGGCCCAAAATCATCCAGTGAGGTTCATGGCCCAACGTAAGGACTAAAACCAGAATTTCCCCAGACCCAGCCCAACCCAGCGCTTCGCTCACATTTTCTTGAAGAACAAAGAAGCAGCCTATTAATTACTGAAAGATGTGTGATGGGTTACACAAATAGTTAGGAAGAGTTCAGTTAATCTGCATTTGCAGCTAAGAAGGTATGGTAGCATAATTTTAGCTGTACGTGTGTGTGCTGCAGTTTGTTGTAAGCCGCCCCGAGGCTTCGGCGAATGGGGCGGCATAAAAATGTTTTAATAATAAATAAAATATTACTTCATGTGGTGGATCACTTACATGATGTATGCTTTTTCTGGAAATGCCACCTAATTAAGACCTAAGGACTGAGCTGAGGAAAGGGCCATTGCCATTGCTGACTGGTCTGAAGCAAAAGTTCTAACTTTCATGTTCTTTTCCACCCTATAATTTCTTAGTACTACTGTCAGAAGGCTAAATTCTACCTGTATAATTGAGAAAATGTTGATCTTCAAACTTCTTTCTCCTTTTAATCACATTTAAGATGAAAATACCACTGTTGAAGAGTAAAGCAAATGCAGAAGTGGTTTTATTTGATTACACTGAAGAGTATGTAGCTTATTTGTCAGTACTGTTCTTTAGATTTGCATGCTAGTCTGCAACTGTATACATATTTAGCTTGTGATCAACCCTATTAGACTTAATGGGATTTATTAGCCAATAAGTCAAAGTCTTTATATAGAATCTGGCATTTAGATAGCACTTAGTGCGCTCTAATATTACTATTTGATAGTTTTGCATACCACTAACCATATTTAAAATATTTCTAAATGGTTTACAAAAAACAAAATGTATTAAAATACAGTATGATTTACATTGGAAAACATAGCATTTGCTAAAACATTGATATAAAACTTTAATAAAAATTAAAACTTATAAAAAATTAAAAATAATCCCTACATCAAGTATTTGTTACAGCAGCTATGTAGCATTATATCTGCACTGTACACTGAGATATAGGAGTTCTTTAGGGACTCTGAGCTCCTTATATAAAGAATCAAGGACTGAAAGGCAGCCTCGCTTCATTTCAGAACCTAGTTTTGTGATGGGAAAAAGAAAGAAAGAAAAGGAATCAGAAAAGAGGAACAGTCTTGTCAGCCAGATGGGTACAGAAAAGGGTAATTTCCTTCACTGTAGCCTGGACCCACATTTCTCAGTTCTCTCCTCCTTCCTGAAGTGGGCTCGCCCCTTGGTGGGCACTGAGAAAAAATGAAAATAAGAGTCATGAAGATGATGACGACACTGGAGATAGTGAAAGCTTCTGGAACCTCTAGAAATAACCTTCAGAACAATGCCATTTGGTGGGTTACAAGCTCTCACCTTGCCATCAGCAGAGCTGCTCGCAGCCTCAGAGACACTGCCACTGGTACTAGTACCTTGCTTTTTACTTACCTTCCACTGCTACCAATTACATGCATCCTGGCAGAGAGGTAACACAACAAGAGTGGTAATTGTGGAGGCTTAGCTTGTCGAGGTCCCTGAACTTGTGCCCATTTCCAAATCTGTAACTCAGCCAATTCATGTTCCTTTTTGTTTGATTTCCCAAACTGTCCTCATGCCCTTTGTCAGCCTTTCTTTCTGTCACAAGGGTTGGGAATGCTGGGGAAAAACCCATCTCCATGTATAGTTGTGCTTGCATGCAACCCACCACCCTCTCATGACTTTTTAAAGCACATTCTGACTGTCTTAAGATGTTTTGGATTGTTTCTCACAGTTGCTTTATGCTTCTCTATGGTTGTCCATTAAGTTTATAAATTTGGTGGTGGGGATGATTGTTCAACTTAGACTATATTTTCTTCTTGGTCTAAAATTAAACATTTCTCTTTGAGGCTACATCATATTGTAACTGAACTCTTCTGGCATGTGCATCACTATTTTTAGGTGGTGTTGGAGTTAACCAAGTTCTTTGTCAATGTCTCTGCTACTGAATCTCTTAAAACAATTGCTGGAATATTATGGTGTGCCACCAGAACTGGTAAGCAGATATTATTGTGTGTGAGGGTACAAGTTGCCACATGAAAGCTTTGAATTAAAACAGGGTAGAAGTCACAGAAGTTTCACAAGTGTCTACGGTTCCACTCCGTACGCTCCCTGTGGTGGGTGCTTCATCACAACCAGGGGAGCATCATAAGAGTTCCATGCTTCCTCCCCAGCTTGGTGCTCCGAATGGAGAGCTGAGTGTCCCTGCACTTGTGCTGTGCTCAGAATCTATTTCCACCTATTGCCTGCTATTTGACAGTGTTTAGCTGGATTGTATGTTCTAGGAAGCCAAAGTTGCTCTTGTGCTACTTGGCATTTTAATTCTGTTTGCATCATGGTGCATCTGATAATGAAGGGAGAAGTGACGGCTTTCAGCCCTCCAAAGGAGCATCATAATTGACATACTTCATTTAGTGTAGGAGTGGGCAACATGTAGACCAGCCTCATGCAGTCACCAATTTTCAGCAGCAAACTGCTGCAGTAGGTGGGTGGGTTGCTGCTGAGTCCAGCAGTGTGGTGAAGGCAACAATGTGTTCCACAAGGGTACAAAGAGTTGGCTAGTGTGGGTGGAAAACTTCCCCCCAATCCTTCCAAGTTACCCACTCCTAATTTAGAGGAGCAAGCACCCTCCCCCACCATATCAATAATCCAAGAGCAGAATCCTGATGAATATAGTTATGTATTTGATCTTACCAAAGCAAAGATAAGTTACATACATACTGTGTGTTCATTAGCTTATTTTCATTTCAAATAACATTTGTAACAGAGCTATCCTCATCTTGGTCAGTATTGCTGGTACTGAAAACTGTACCAATGGTAGTTTCAGGTTGGAAACAAATTCTTGAAAGTTAAGCTAGATTAAACATTCTTCATTAATTCTATATGAATCCATTTGTTTCTGTGACTGCTTTTTCTTTTCACAGCTCCTACGGAGGTGTAAAATTTGTCTTAATCGTATTGCTCATATGATTGGATCCCATCTTTCTTCAAATACCCTTTCACGAACACACTTCCAACACTTATGTGCCATCTCAAGGAGCTGTTTGGTGAGATTTATCAACCCTCCACCCTACACTTTCTTGTTGGCTAGCAGTGTGTTTTGAGCATGTACATACTATGTTCATTGGATCCCTCTTCCATCTTCTCAAATCTGATACCCTCTAGATGTTTTAGAACGCAGCTTCCAGCATTTCTCACATTATATCTGTGGCTGATGAGTTTTGAGGTCCAAAACCTTTGGAGGGCACCAAGTTGGGTCTAGGAAGTAATTTCAATAAAAGAAATGCATAAGCTTCAGTTTGATCTATCAAGCCATCTTATATCCTGCTTGGGATGAATGAAAGTTTGTAAACCTTTTGGTAGACAGATTGTCAGTTGCTTGTTTTCTTTTACAGTTTTTCGTAGCATGCAGTGTATTGGGCAGTACTCTAAAAAAGAACATTTTAGTAGTTGCATTTTAAAATTGCAGGTATAGTGATTAATCCACAAATGCTTTCATTGATGATAAGTGGTTGTGGACTAATATTTTAATAGTGAGAATTAAATGGTACACCGAATTTTACTTTCAGTGAGTTACCATTAGTAGGAATTTTTTAAAAAAATGCCTTGGCTTAGATCCAGGGTTTCTGTGCATAGTAATCTGCTTCTGGGATACTCCCACTGGAACAAGATGAAAGGTAATTTTCTCTGATTCTTCTTTCCCCTACTCCACGTAATCTGATCTGAAAGACTGGGAGGCCATCTGCAGCAGTATGTGAGGTGACACCGAAAGATGCAGGGAGAAGTAGGAATCAGCAAAAACTGGTTCCTGGTTCTCTTCCTCCATTACACTCCTCTGGATTGTATCCCCTTCTGCAAAACAAAGGGGTTATTCAGTTTGTAGAAGTGTAACTCCAAGATGAATCTAGGAAAGATGGCCTTTCTATCTAACAAAGTGATTACTTTTAATATTTTGTTGTAAGCTACCTTCTGCTTTCTTCTGCACTTCAAAAAGGCATTTTATATTGAAGAATTTACATTTATTAAAGTGTAATGAGTTAAAAAGCAAATTACTAAATTTCTTGAGCGTGCAATCCTATATATACTTAGACTGAGAAAAAGCCCTACAATTTCCAGCATGCCCCAGCCAGGCAGTTTTAGGATGCTGAGAGTTGTAGGATTTTTTTCTGCCTGAATCTACATAGGATTGTATCCTTAACTGGTCTACAGTTTTATTTAAAATGTTTGCATTTAACCTGAAAAGGTATTCTTGATTCTCAGATATCCTGGGCTTGGGAAAGAAAAGAATATGGATCTACTCGAAGTTTCATTCGTAGACTGGGAAACTGTCTTTTGCTAACTCCTACTCCAAGGCCACACTTTCCGGTATACGAGTTATTGTTAAGTTTAAAAGGATTATCTTTTCGGCTCTCATACGTTCTTCAGGAATCTTGTTATGTTTAGTATTTGATAATAGAGACAAGAAATAACAAGCATTCCTAATAACACTTTACTTGACTTGTTCTGTTTACCATTTAGAAGATATAGTGGAAACTGAAGGTATAGAAATGTACTTCAAATAATAGAGGGACCATTAGCAAACCAGAATAATGAAGTGAAATAATGGAGAGTGAAAAAAATCTAAAATACATTTTTATATGTGAATATAGAAAAATATTTGAGTTTCCAGATAATTTCCAGTCAAAGCAATCAAAAGCCAAACAACTAATTGCATCTACAGAGAGTCCCTGAGTTATGAACATTTGTTACGGACAACCCATACTAAAAAACAAACTGCCATAAAGTCTTTTAATTAAAAAAATACTGTGGAGAATAGTCATCAACATAGAGAGAGAGGAAGCATCAGGGAGGGAGGCCTCCAAAGCAGGCATTCCTCTTCTACCTATCCAAAGAAGGAAATCTCTCTGGCATGTACTTGCTACAAAGAGGAGTCACTAGTGAGTTGGGTGGTGGGGGTGGGAGTTAGAGATATTTGCAGTTTGTCCACTTTCATGGGGGTTCTGTGCCCCCAACCCCCACAAATGTGGCTGGCCAACTACACACAATACAAATTCAACTTAAACAAAAATTTCTGTAATGGAACTTACTCATAACTTGAGGACTGCCTATATTGTTTTGGGAAGCAGCTTGAATCCTCTATGTGATGGCCATTTTCATTCAAGTGGGACAGAACTGGTGTTATGTTTAGATCTTCAGCTTCCTTCTGTCTGTTTGGCCATATACTTTGTGCAAGCTGTGGCTTCTGAACCTATCTTCCAGAGCACCCATATAGAAACATAGAAACAGAGCGAATCAGAAGGGGTCTCCCGGGCCATCTAGTCTGACCCATGGCTCCAGCTGGCTCCGCTCATGACATGCCCACCATATGCATGTCCAGCCTATCTTTGAGCACCCTCACCGATGGGGCCTCAACCACCTCCCATGGAAGCCCATTCCATACCCTCGGGGTCCTGACTGTCAGGAAGTGCTTCCTGGCATCTAAATGGAACCTTGGTTCCCTGAGTTTTGCTCCGTTGGAGCTTGTCCTGCTTTCCTCTGCAGGGGAGAACAGGTTTCTCCCCACCTTCATGTGACATCCCCTCACATATCTGTATGTTGCCAACATATCCCCCCTGAGTCTCTTCTTCTCCAGGCTGAAGAGACCCAGTTCCCTCAGTCTCGCCTCATATGGCATCCCCTGCAAACTGGCCACCAACCTTGTCACCCTACGCTGCACTGACTCTAACCTGGCTATATCCTTCCTGTAATGAGGGGCCCAAAACTGAACACAATATTCCAGATGCGGGCGCACCAGAGTCGTATAGAGTGGTAGTAATACCTCTCTCGATCTAGAAGCCACACTTCTGGCTATGCAACCAAGGGTGGTGTTCGCCCTCTTGACCGCCACATCACACTGCTGACTCATGTTTAGCCTGCAGTCAACCAGTACCCCGAGGTCCCTTTCACAAGTGCTGCTCTCCAGCCATTTGTCCCCTAACCTGTACTTATGGCACCCATTTCTATGCCTCAAGTGCAAGACCTTGCACTTATCCACATTGAACGCCATCCTGTTGTCTCCTGCCCCCTTCCATAGTCTGTCCAGATCCTTTTGGATCTGGAGTACCTGCTCCTCAGTTGTGGCCACTGCTGCAATTTTAGTATCATCTGCGAATTTGATCAGCAGACTGTTCACCCCTTCTTCCATGTCGTTAATGAAAAGATTAAACAGGATCGGCCCCAGGACAGAGTCCTGGGGGATCCCGCTTGTCACTGGCCACCATCCCGATGGTTCCCCACTAATGGTTACCCTCTGCTTTCAGTCAGTCAACCATGCCCTAATCCATCGGACAGTGCTTTGGTCTATCCCAAAACTCCTCAGTGTCTCAACCAGGATATCATGGGGCACTTTGTCAAAGGCCTTGCTGAAATCCAGGTAAACCACATCCACTGCATCCCCTCCATCTAGCCACCTTGAAACCTTGCTGTAGAATTCCACAAGGTTTGTCTGGCAGGACCTGTTTTTGCGGAAACCGTGTTGTGTTGCTACCAGCCTTCCTTCCCTATCTAGCATCACTAGATCTCTCTCTGTTATGAGCCTTTCCATTGTTTTTCCTACAATGGACGTAAGGCTAACTGGTCTGTAATTCCCCATGTCCCTTCTACTACCCTTTTTGAAAATTGGGACCACTGATGCCACCCTCCAGTCTTCTGGAAATTCACCCGTTCTCCACGAGGCCTCAAAAATGGAGGCCAATGGGTGTGAGAGAACCCCCGCCAATTCTAAAAGGAATGTTATCATTATTATTTATTTGGGTAATTTTTACCCCATCCAATACCCAGTGGGTCTCATTATTATTATCATTATTTATGATAATAGTTGGAGCTTTCTGGGCAGTTCACAGCAGCACATTAAAACAGTAAAATGCAATATAAAATACACACAGCAGTAAAAACAACTTTAAAATTATAGTACAAAATTTAACACCAAGTTTAATAGCTATAATAGTTAACCTAAATTAGAACACTTGTTAGATGGCTGATATAATGCCCAATATAGTACTTAGAGCTATAAATGCCCTCTCATAAAGGACAGTCTTAAGCTAGTGCCAGAATATTGCTGGAGCTGGCACCAGGCAGGCCTCAGTGGGGAGTCCGTTCCACCATGAGAAAGCCCTCCTCCCTCTTGCCACCAACCAAGCCTCCTTTGGAGGCAGGTCCAGATCTTGATTATAGTGTCTGGGTAGATTGTGGCTAGAAGAGGCTTCCATGAAATAATAGGCATTCAGGCCATGTAAGCACTGAGTAGAAGCACCTTGAATTAGGCTTGGAAGTACATAGGTAGCCAATGCAAGCAGGCCAGAATTGGTGTTTTATGTTTGGATCTTCTGATCTGAGTTATCAGCCTGCCTACTGCATTTTGTACAAGCTGCAGCTTCTGATCAGCATTCAAGAGCAGATTCACATAGAGTGCAGTACAGTAATCTAGTTTAGAGCATGATTGCTAAAACCAGGTTCTTCCTTTCTAGATAAGGGCATAGCTGGGCCGCCAGCAGGAGCTACTAGAAGGCTTTCCATGCTGCTGAAGCCACCTGCGCCTCAAGTAGCAAAGATGGTTCAAGGGGAATCTCTTAGGCTACAGATGTGCTCCTTCAAGGGGAGTACATGTTTCCATGCAAACAAGCAGCCTGAACTCTGATCAGAATGTTCTAGATGAGGACAGTCCAACCTTTTGTACCTTGAGGGTTGAATGAGGAATTTGACATGGACCCAAAGGGGGCCACACGATGGATTACATGTCCATATCACAAATTATTCACAATTTATTTAATATGCACAGTTAGTATATTTAAATAACCATTAAACAAGGGAGAAAACTAATACGAAGTCTCAGTTGGCTTTTCTCTGCGAGTTCAAAAAAACTATGCTGGAAAACAGAAACAAGGGAGAGAAAATCAATATGACTGAGGTCTCAGTCTGCGAGTTCCTCTGCAAGTTCAAGCCATTCCAGAGATCACAGGCAGCTCCTCCTCTGACTACAGCCCAAGCACAATGACTGCCTCTCTGGGGTGGCCCATCCCTTTCTTCTCTGTTTCTCCCATCCAGAAACCCTCCCATGTGACCTCCCTGGTCCCCCTTCCTTCTTAGAATTGGCACTGAGCCTCATGTAATTGAGCAGACAAACTCTCCCCAGCATGCCTCACCTGCTCCTGCTGACAAGGGCCAAGGCTGCCAGCCCAACTCATTCTTTTTATGAGCCTCTCTTCCTGAGTATTGTGCAGTATTTCCATCTGTTTCTCCTTCATGGGCTTTTATACGGTTAGAAAAATAGGGAAGAAGATGGAAGAAATTGTGGGAAAACATGACAGTGGGAAGTGAAAGGCACTGTCAGCTGAAAATCCCACTCTACCCAAATTCCATGTATGGTGCATGACAATGGCAAAGCAAAAAACTTAATTGGAAATACTGTATTAATCAGAGCCTGTCCTGGTACATCCTGATCTACCCTGATTTGGTTGACAGAGTTCAGCTATTCCAGAATTAGACCTGCTGAAAAGTTGAAGACCGTGTCATCTGTCTCTCATTTATTCATTATTTTAAACACATCTGCATATCAACAAAATGGAAAGCAAGCTTCTTTGCATGGCATGATTTGCTAAGAGCTGTGACGTATACAACAGGAATGCAGTGCTTGAAACCTAACTAAAATTGCCCATGTGACCAAGCCATTTTGACCACAATGGGCTCGTTGCTGAGCCATGAGCCAGCCAGACGATGGGTCCCTGACAGACCGTGACAGCCTTACCATCTTCGTTGCCTCCCATTTGGATTGTGGTACCAGCTCAATGGGCTGTTTTTGATCATTAAAACAATCCATTAGCTTAGGGCTAATGCATGTTAAGGGGCTGCCTCTCCTACTTACCTGAGCTTTTAGATATTCTTTGGAGGCCTTTCCCTGGGTGTCACTGCAGAACGAACAGCTGTGGGAGAGTGAGTTGTGGCACCCTGAATTCAGAGTGCCCTCCCCATGGAGGCTTACCTGGGGCCTCCTTCGTTGTCATTCAGAATTTAGTGCAGATAGGTTCTGGGACAAGATCTCCTGAGGGGTGAGAGTCTCGGGAAGAGAGCAGGTCAGGCTGGCAGCCTCACGAGGGCTCATCCCTGCATACCCCATCCACTTCTGAGCATCTTGACCACCAGCCATATCAGTTGGAAAGCCCCCATCTAGATCCATCAGTTGGAAACCATCTAGATCCATTATCCTCTGGGGCAGACCAGTTCAATAGATCTCCCACCCTGGTAGAGGGGAAAACCTGCTGTTAATCTAAATCATAGTTGACAGGGATCTGACTTGACAAAAGGACAGATAAGTCCCCTTCCCTTTCAGATCACTACTACTATCCCTGGCTGGAAAAAAAGCAAAAACAAATCTAGACTGTACAACCTAACAATAATCTAACCCGAAGTTTCCCAGAGCATAGACTACTGAAGCCAGGCATCCTTGTTCAGATTTTGTCTGCACTCACTGGCTCTCAGAAATAGTGTTCTTTAGCTTAGAGGTTTGCTGGTGGGGAAGGGATGTGACATGGGATGACAAGGTCTACACAGTTCACTATACAGAGGAATAATACATAATATTAGATCAAATGGATATCCATTCATACTTTTTTTCTTTTTGGAAAACTAACATTTATAGACACTTAATTTTTATGTTGCTTTAGATGATCCAAAGTTTGAATTCTTTAGAATCTGACCAAAGTTACTACATTGCACCATCTCTTGCTGATGTTTTGTGGATGGCAGATGATGACAGAGCACAATGTGCTAAATTCAGGCAAGTAAAACTAATGTCTTCTTAAGAATGCCTTCACCTCTTTCTTTCTTCAGTGCAGCTGTGGGGATTTTAACAATCAGAATGTAATTGTTTAAAAGAGCCTACTACAGGTATTGCTGTTTCTAAATAGTGACTGGTTTCAGACAATAGCAAAGCTCATGTTTCAGCAACAATCTACAGTTTAGTCCACACAACCCTTGCATATTGGGTTATCATGTGATCTGAACCCATTCAGGTTTTCCCCCATTTCTTTGAGGTAACTTTTCCAGCCCCAAAGAGGCAGCTGGCACAGCTCTTCCCACAGTAGCTATGGTGGAAAGAGCTTGTCATCCTCCTGAAGGGCAAAGTGCTCTGACTTAAAAGTCTGAGCTACTGTATTATTGCTGGGGTGCTTGCCCAGGGACTGTAGGATTGCTCTCCCCATTCACCTGCATGGTTGGGAAAGGGCCGTCTCATTCTAGCTTAGTTTTCCAGTCATATTTGTTATGAAAAATGCTTTGTGGGCTTGGTATAGCATCACCAGCAAATGGTATGTGAGTCTTTTCTTGATAATATTTACAGATTTTGGTAAGTCAGCCAATATAGTGCAAATTGTGATGCTATGAAACCTAAGCCTATTTACAAATTAAAGCCGCAGTCCTATATCTTGGAGCAACCTCCATCATTCAGTAGTATTGTCTTCTGAATAGGCATGGCAAAGGATTACACTGTGTGACATCCACGTGGCATTGGGAGCCAGTGTGGTGCGGTGGTTAAAGAGCTGGACTGGGGACTTAGGAGATTTGGGTTTCAGCCCCCACTCAGCCATGAAGTTCACTGTGTGATTCTGGGCCAGCCATTCACTCTCAGCCTAACCTACCTCACCAGGTTGCTACTGTGAGAGTAACAGTGGGGCTCTATAAGTTGCACTGAGTTCCTGACAAGAGGGGAAAAAGGCAGAGTATAAATGCATTGTAACAAGAAAAAAAATATTTGAAGTAACTGGTCAGATGAATAAACTTCTCAGGCATGTTAGTCCTTCAGTGCTGTTTTTAAAGCTATTATTGCATTTTTAAAAAATTACACAAATTGTATTTTACTTTGTTTTTATGCTATAGTGTTAAATTTCTAAACGTTTTATGCCTTGTCATGTTATATCTTATGATTGTTATTGTTGTGAACCACCCATAGTTCTTTAGCTATAGGGTGGTACAGAGATATAATAAATAAAATTAATCTTTACAGTAAACATTTTTATTCCTTTCAAATTGTACATTTATATTTTCTAGATATGATGAATGGAGAGAAGTTGTAACTCCATCTACACTTCCTGCACCAGTTGGTTCAAAAGAAATAGTGCAAAAAACAACTGTTGTGAATGAAGATGCATTCCAAAAAATTTCTGCTCTTGAGAACGAGTTAGCTCATCTGCGTAGACAGATTGCTTCAATTGTTGCCGCGGACCGGACAGGAAATGATCAGTCACGTAAGTCTGTTTATGTGGATCCTGAGAAATGTGCTTATGTGTTTTGCTTCTCTTACTCCTAACCATGTCCAGTCATACTGTAAATCTGATGGCAAAGTTTTGTGTAGAAATCTGCTTCTATGTTCATCCTATGCACAGTTGCTGTGTAACAGTTAAAAACAACTGCTTGGAGTTACTCGTGTACCCATCCTTTGCCCACCTTCTCAACAAAGACAAGGGACAAAATGGTAACACACATTAGAAACAGAAAACTCTGATTAACATACTAGGTAGGAGTGCTATTGGGAACCTTGGCCTGAATCCAAAGGAGCCACACAATTATTTCTACGTGCTCCAAGGGAGCATTGTGTGTATTTCTTGGATGCTTGCCCCTTGGCTCTCGTTCGAAACTGAGGGAATGTTCAAGAGCAGATTGTGAAACAGCATGGAAATCTGCTTTTCAAAGAAAAACAGTCCTGGCCCTTGTCTGCAAAAACAGAATTCCTCAACAAATGAGGAAAGTTAATTATAGGGAAGAGATGTGTGTATGCCACATATTTTATAGTCATACCGCAACAGCGTCTGTAGTTTAGCACGCAGTATTTTGTTTAGGATGCAGCCTTTTAGGACCTTCTTCAAAAATCAAAAACTTTTAATTTTAATCCTTAAAACTAGCAAAAGTACCTGAAGTGCCTGATCCTTGGCTAATCTTGAAAGCTAAGCAGGGTCAGACCTGACTGAAATCACTTAAATAAGTGAAATAAATAAATAAAATGTTGTGAGCCACCCAGAGATCTTCAGCGACATGTGGTATAGAAATGTAAATATTATTTATTTATTTATTTGATTGTATGGCACACCATTAGCCATAAGGCTCTCTGAGCAGCTCACAACATATGCAGGACAATTAAAATAAATCACAATAAAACCAGTAACAACATTAAAATCAATAAATGTAGCAATGTAACCAATGAGATCAATATTAAATAAGATAAAACATGATGAAAAGAGACATAAAATCAGAATTAATATAGCAAACCAATTAAAACACCATTAGTAAAATAGAATCATAAATTAACAAAATGTTTGGCACAAAATCACAGTGTGGCAACAACAGTTAACAATACAAACCAATTAAAAACCATTACAAACCTACCAATTCATCCATTGAAATAGTTGTAGAACAGGAACGTTTTTAGTCAGCATCTGAAAGCATAAAGAGATGGTGCCAATCTAATCTCCATTGGGATCACATTTTACAGTTGGGGTGCTCTTATGCAAAAGGACGTCTTTCTTGCATCCTCCCCCTTTATTTCATTGGGGGTGGAATACAGAGGAGGGTCTCAGATGATGACCACAGTGACCAGGTGGGTAGATATGGAGATAGGCGTTCCCTCAGATAACCTGGCCCCAAGCCATTTAGGGCTTTATATGTTATTGTAAGCACTTTGAATTGGGCCTGGTGGGCAACCAGCAAGCCAGTGCAGCCTGCGCAAGACCGGCATCGTATGTTCGTGAATGCGAGTCCCGATCAGCAGACATGCTGCCTGATTTTGGCCAAGTTGCAGTGTCCAGACCATTTTCAAAGAGGTTATCAGTGCACAAAACTGGTAAAAATAGCTTTTACTTTTATATAGTAGGCTTTTGCGAGGCTTTTGCGAATGGGGCGGCATATAAATGTTCCAAATAAATATGCATAGCTGATTAGTAAATGTATCACTAGGTCATTCTTACATAAAAAGTAATAGTGATGTCTGAAACCTGAGAGGTTTAAGAGTGGCTTCAGGAGCTGGACACTGTTGATATAATTTATTTTCCTTTTTTTAATCCTTGCAACAGTGCTGAGGAAACCTTAATGAAGAAAGAGACTAGCCCAGGGTCACACAGTGGTTTTGTGGCTGAAGAATAGTCTGAATTCAGAGATCCTTGATCTGACTCTGTTGCAACCAGTGTGGTGCAGCGGACAGTCTGTTCAATAACCTTTTCTAAAAGAGTACTCACCCTCACAACTTGACTTGGTTCTTAATTAACTTTTGTCTGTTCTTGCTTTCATGTGCTGAATAGTGAAGATTGTTCTAACAGTAAGCAAAGTAACATACCGGTTTATGCTTTCATATGTTCAGTTCTCTTTTCTTCTGATATTTCCTTTGTGATTCTTGAATTGGTTCAGGTACCATGAAGTCGCACTCCGGTGGTCTCCCACAGCCAACAATGACTTCGTCACCCGTTCCTGTCTCTCTTTGCAACGTGGTTGTTCCCCCTGCTCCTCCTCCACCACCACTGCCATCTAATCTTGATTCCTGTAATTCTGCGATTGAACTTATTAAGCAACGTCGGGCTGCAAACCCTGGCAGGCATATTACAGAAAGTGTTGGATGGAAGACGGTTAAGACTGCTCCTAGTATGATGGATGTTCTGAAGGATATGAAAAAGGTCAAACTGAGAACTGTTGAGAGGTAAGTTGAGCAGAGTCTGAACTCTTGAATGAAATGAAGCTGGAAGAGGAATAAACTCACCAGCAAATAATATGCTTTTTTCCTTTTTTTTACCAAATAAAACGATATCATAAAAATCATAGAGCAACATATATTAATATGTAAGATGTTGCCATAGTTCAAGGGGAATCAAAAAGACCATTTAGGGCAAGAAAGGAAAATGCAAAGACTGTTAGGATTATACAGAGAGAACAAATACTTCTCTCAGCATTTGTTAAAAGAAGTTGCAGTCGCTTTGACTAGAGGTTGGAAACCTGCTGTTTTTATTTCTCCAGATCACCTGGAGGTACTCCTCTACCCAAAACAAAGAAAATCATGCAGTCTTCATGGGACCCAGCAGCTTTAATAGCAGAAGCTCTTAAAGAGAAATTTGCATCCCAGAGCAATGGAGAAGATTCATTTGACAAAGAAAATCGATCCTATGGTGCTTCTCCATTTTCCAGTCCTGATACTCCTGTGGTATGTAGCTAATTTTATATTTTTATATACATATTCTGTCATTTATATAGGATTATTGGTGACACAGAAAGAAAAACATATTCTTCAGGAAATGCAAGATCAGGACAAATCACATGTATGTAATACAAAAATGGCATCTACTTACTGTGAAAGGGTGTGGATGTCATAACAGAAGCCTACCCAGATGTTGCTTTTACAATGTTAGAATGGTTATATCTGTCATTTAATTCTGAATAAAGCATTGAATACGTGTTCTGCCATGTTTTTATAGTTCAAGTATCTAGTCATAGTTACAATGGATAGATTTCAACATTTTTAAACTACTTTTAACATCCTACTTCGGTTACTTAAAAGTAAGCCCCATTGATTTCTATGGGATTTTTTCATAAGCGAAAACCTTCATCTTTTACAAATATCTTTTTAAAGAAATGGCTCATCTTATATAGTGCATGTGTGTACCTGCCTTTTAAAAACAGAGGGAACAGGTAGAATATACAATTCTTCTAGAGTAGTTTTAGTTTCAGATGATACTACATGATCACTTAACATGGGCATTATGCAGACATGATGTTTCTACCTAGTCATTCCTTTATGCCCTAACTTTCTTGTATATGTACTATCCCTACTAACTGGGAGGAGGACACATAGAGTATAACCGAGCGAATGCATGTAAGTTTCCACTGCTGCATACAGCCTCTGATGTGCTTGGGCCGTAGCCAGTTCAGCCCTTGGGTTCTTCAGCCCTGCTCTAGAAAGTGCTGCCGAGGGACTGCTGCTCTGACCCATGGTAGTTATGCTGTGCTGTGCTCCAGGGCTCTAGTTTTCCCCTTTGGTTTTCAACCAAACCATGAAACCACTCATTGGGAGATTTGATCCAGTACTGGCAATATGCCTTATTCTACTCCCCCTTTCTGTTATGTTCAGGCAAGGCTGTGAAATGCCTGGAATTGAGAAGGGACTGGATGTGGGGTGGTAAACACAAGTTCAAACAAGATGGAAACCCTGTTGGTGGGTGTACTGTCTGTCCTGGAAGTGGTATTCATTTTATTGCCCTGCCCCTGAAGAATTAGGATAGCAGCTTTGGGATGTTCTTAGAGCCAGCATTAATTTTGGAGGCCAATGTGACTTCCGTGTAATGAAGCTTCTATTACTAGCTATGGATAGTGTGCAAGACACAGTCCCTTCAGGAAAATGATAGTCTGGTCATGGCTATCCAGTCTTGTTCTGTGTTACATGTTAATGCCTTTGAATAGTATTTGGAAATTTAAGTTAGTATAAAATATAGTGGGTAAATTGACCATTGGACTGACGAGGTATTTCAAACAACTGACTTGATTGTTGTTCTGATTCCAAGCATATGGTTTTTGTTAGCCAGAGTTAGAGTGATCTGTAGGTGGGTTTGAAAGAACTCAATAGGCAGAACACTACCTGAAAGGGTTGGATTTGCTGTCACCCTGAACTTCAGTAAGAGTGGAAAACCTATTAAATTGGCCTGCCTTCAGGGACTGATAGGTTGAAGGGGTTTCCTGAATACTCTGGGTGATTTTCCAGCTGCTAAAGTTGGCAATCCTACTGAAGCCCTTGTTGATCTATTGCGAGAAGACTCATGTGGCTGACACTACTGCTTCTAAGTACTGTCTCCTGTTACATGGAGCTTGGATTGTTTAGTTATCTAGAGAACTTTGGGTAATGGTGATTACTTAGGCAGATGGCCAGTAAGTCAGTGGAGCAAAAAATTTGGTGTAAAATTAATTAAAGACTAGTTTAAGGCCTGTTTCATGATGGCAATGACAGCAGAGAAGCTGCATCACCACTATTGCATCACAGTTGTTCTGGTGTTCTTACATTCTAGGTCACAAGTAGTGAGAGAAGACTTGGAAAATCATTGTGATGAATTTGCAAAATATTTTGCTGATAAAATAATTCTCATTTGCTCTGACTTGTACACAGTGATGTGAAGCAGATAGGGTGGTCATAGAGGCATCTGCCTGTCTGGTTTTGATAGATGTCTTTTATCTTGCACGTGGTAGGCATGTTGTGAGCAGAGCCATCTAGAGCCAGGGGTCAGACTAAATGGGCCGGGAGACCCGTTCTGACTCACTCTATGTTTCTAAGCTTCTATCTTGTTTTACCTGAGGATGTAGCCAAGTTGCTTAGAGAGGTGAGGCCAACCATTTGTTTGCTTGACCCTTCTTTACTCTGGTTAGTTAAAATTGGCAAAACAAGGACTAGGTAGCAGAAACTGTAAATGCATCTTCAATAGAAGATTCTTTTGCAGTTCTTTTAGCAAAGCCACTGCTTTTTTTAAAAAAAAGCATTCTTCTATTCTGCCACCCAGTTTGGATGGTATGAGACATGGGGCGGTGTTTCTGATTCTATCTTGCTGAATGTTCTTAGAAGGTGGTGCTGTGGGACGATTACTCAGTTCTTTGACCATTGGTGTATGGTTCATCCCCTTGTTTATTGACCAATGGTTTCTCAGAGCTCTGTTTGGGTCCTATCCTATGGGTCCATCTATCTGAAGTTGCTGAGGAAGGTAATCCATAGTTTGTGGCTTGGCTCTCATCATTATGTTGAGGATTAGCAAGCTCTAGCTCATTCAAGTGATGCAAAGCAGACTGTTGATGTTTTGAACCATAGCCTGGATGCAGTGATGGATTGGAAGTGAGCTAAAGAATTGAGGCTCAACCCAGACAAGATGAAGGTACAGTTGGCCAGTACACAGGCTGATCTTGGGCTGGGAATATAGCCTCTTACGGATGGGATTGCCTTCCCTCTACAATAAGTACCTCAAAGGCTGTTACAAAAGGAAGATCAAGATCTCTTCCTGCTGATAACAGAGTGTAGGACACAGGATAATCAATTCAAGCTGCAACAACCCAAATTCCGGCTAGATATCAGGAAAAGCTTCTTCACTGTCACAGCAATATGACAGTCGAACCAGCTGCCTAGAGAGGTGGTGAGCTCTCCCACACTAGAGACATACAAAAAGAAACTGGACAGCCATCTGAGTGGGATGGTGTAACGTGGTGTCCTGCAACAGCAGGGGTTGGACTTGATGGCCTTCACGGCCCCTTCCAACTCTACTATTCTATGATTCTGTGGCTCATGTTTGTAGCCCTGGGTACTTCTAGATGCAGCACTGCTTTTGGAGGGTCAGGTGGTTCTTGTTAGCAAGGGTACCTTTGCCATAATTGCACCCCTTTCCAATGTACCATGTGAAGACATATTTGACCAAAGTAATTCACCCATTTAGACTACTGTAATGCATTGTGGAGTAGTACCTGGGGAGGGGGGATTAAGGGTACTCAAAAACTGCAGCAAGCACAAAATATGACAACGGACAGCTTGATAGTGTGCATGTTGTTGAGCATATTTATCAGTCCTGTGCCAACTATCCTGGCCTCCAGTTGGTTTCTGGGTATAATTCAAGGTGCTGGTGGTCACCTACGAAGTCCTAAACTTTAGGGTCAGGATATCCAAAAGACTGTCAGTAGATTAAGACTTATTTATTTATGTGCTTAGTATTACCTGTCCTACAACCAAAAGAGGTTAGTCTGGTAAGATACAAGCCAGGGCCTTTTCTGTGGTAGCACACTGATTGTGGAACTCCCTCACTGGGAGATTTGATTTGCTCTTCCTTGTTTAGTTATAGGCAAGTTTTAATTTAAAAAAAAATCCACATGGTGCTTTTGTGAGTTTAACTGTAATTCTGTTCTATTTTTTTTTCTTTTTTATTTGCTTGATATTTTCATTATACATGTATATATGGATGGATATCACATCAACAGCCTTTTGGTGCAAAAAGGCAACTAATAAATAATTTTGTTAATAAGAAATTTGCTTTTGGTTACAGGTTGGCTGTCGCATTTTGAAGCCAAGCATGAAGCAGACGTATATTAGAGCTGAGGAACTGACGCATGTATCAGCTACAAAAACAGGAGCTCGTATTTAGCCGTTGTATAAAGCTTAGGGGAAAAAGCTATGCTTACTCCTGGGACTATTCTTTTTAGGGTTCCATGGACATTTTCTATGAGAAAATGGCTTCTAAAACTAACTGTTCGTATTAAATATTTTAGCAGCCAAGTTTGCTAAATATTTCAGTAGCTGTAATACTTTCTGGTTTTGCATCAACTTTATAGTCTAGATGGCAACTTTTTTGTCTCACAAATAAATCTGTAAAAGAAAGGTGACACAGAAAGAAAATATAAATATCTGCAATGTTTATCCAGTTGAGATGGTAATATATTAAGATTGTTTAAGCAAGAAACGGGGTATATTTAATAGTGATTGTTAGCTTCCTCAAAAAAATACTGTTTTAATGTTGTTCTAGTTCACATGTAACAACAACCCAGAATGTATGGGTTGTCATTGAACTGTGGGTTGTTATGTGTGACTCCGACACAATGGTTTAACTAGAAATCAACCATGAATGAGCTAGGAAAAGAAGTCATCATTTGTTGGGTTTGAACTCTGAGTTGTTCATGGTTCATCCATAGTTAAACCATAGTGTAGTGTTTGCACATAATGACAACCCGTGATTCAACAAGTCACATTCTGAATTTACATGTGAACAAAGACATTGATTTAAACATTATAAGGTATACATAATTGGTGGTAATGGCATTTTCTAGGCCTTGAAGTAAGAGATGTGACATGTGCAAAACCTGCCATGAATATGGTGCAAAATTATAAAGTATTCCATGGGTGCTATAGGCATATTTGAAATTCAAAATAGAAATAAATTTTGCTGTTGACTTTTTGTACCTCTGAAAATTTAGCCTTTAAAATAAATTCTTTAGATATAGATTGTGATCTTTCTCTGTGACTTAAATATGTCAGATTTTGTGTCTTGTGTCTAAAGATACAGAAAGACATAAGCTATCTCATAAAATGAGTCCTCTATCGTGAAACCTTCCTGCCCTGAGATGAAAGTGCTTCCTTCTGACAATTTGATGCATGACATTTAGCATCCTTTCCCAGTCACTGTCGGATCCTTTCTCAAGTCAGAAATACTGTTGCATATTCTTATTTGCAAAGATGTATCCTGAAAGGCCATGAATAATATGTTGACAGTAAGTACAAGTTTGATTTTGGACAGCTCTGCATGGAAGACTGATGAGTATTGAATAATGCATCATTCTTGAACCAGCAGTATACTACTATTGTTGGATGTCTCTTTTAGTAGTTGACCCTTTCCCTGTAAATGATTTGGAAGAGAAGCTATACAACCTATTAATCTTGAAATCAGTGACATACAGAAATTGCAAAATATTTGTTTATGGAATGAAAGCCAGTGAGGCAATGTAGTACTTGGAAATTTTCTAGATTGTCTGACACTGACTCTCCACCAGTGAAATGGCATTCTCCTTCCCCCACGTCTTCCTCAGATTTCCCCTGGCAGTGGGGATTACGTGAAAAGAAATTCAGGTAGAGAGGCAGTGGTTGCGTGTAGCCAGTTATTATTAGATTTTTAATATTAAAAACCTGCAATATTTCAAGCAAAGTTTAATGTTGTAATTGAATGTTCAGCCATGGTTGTATTTCATGTGTCTTGAATAGATTGCATGATTGAAATGTCATGAGTGAGAGTAAATTTGGTTTTTTTTATTGCTTTACACAGAAATATTTTGTGCTTCTTGGCTTCCCTCTGTAGTCAAAGCCACTGAAGGACATACTCTTATTCCCTGAACAATATAACATTTCAATCAAACTTGTATTTAAACTTCAAGACCTTAAAAGCAGTTACTACTTTCTAAGAATGATTACCGCATGCAACTAACCACAAGAGGGCAACCGGACACCATCTGCAAAAAACTGATCCCCCCCCCCCCCACTTTCAGATATTCTTCCCAGATCTACAGACTCTGATTAACAACCAAATAACCTGTTGTGTTATGGATTAGTATGTTACAGGAAACATGCTACAAAGTTTCTAGGTCTATGTGAGTATTCAGAATACATAAAAATGTGAGACATAAGTGTCTCTTAAGTCTCAGAAACTGTGGTTGACTCGTAATATGCAGGGCTTTCACTGGTCCTGAGGTAATGCCGTTTTGTAACTTGCTCATTATTGCACAGCTACACTATGCCTCTTGTATCTCTCTCTCAGTTTTCTCCCCAGTCCTCCAGATTTGTACTATAGCCACATCCACTGGTAGCCTGTGAAAGGGTTCTAATGTGCACCAGCCCGTGGACCAGTGCAAGCAAGCTGGCTAGTTGTTCCTATGTGGTAGCATTTGACTGGGCATTTTTCTGTATGAATTCTTTGCAAAATGTGTCTGCTGCTTTTTCTCTGTGCCTTTGCTTTGTGCACTGTGAACCCAAGAGTATCAGTGGAGTGAAATCGTTAGCAGCCATGGGTGATTTGCATGTGCTTGTGCTATGCAGGACCGATAAACCTTGCCATGCCTTGTTTTCCTTATGGTCCATAGAACTGGTCCCAAAGATTATTAGCATTGTTAGGCAAATGGCAGCCTTTGCCATAGTACTGCAGACTATGTATAGGAGTCCCACCCTGCTGCTCGGGGCTTGCCAAAGTGGACAGGCTTCAAAATGGGGAAAGGAAGAAGTGCGTGTGTTCTCTTTCTCATCTTTGTAAAAGCTTCCCCCTCTTTGCTTAAATTCAGAGATGGGTGCCAGCCCTGAACCTGATGCAGGGACATTTGCAAGCTGTCTCTTTGTAAATATCCCTGCATCAAGCATATCAGTCTCTGCCTTCAGAGACTGTCCCATATGGGATGTTTATCTTTGTGCCATGCATACCCCAGCCCTGACCTGCCTACTAATAGATACTAAAAGATCAAGTAAGCTAACTTCCTCTCTCATGATCCATCTGTCCCCAACATTTTGTATTCCTGGAAACCACAGCATAAGTCCCTGTCCTGTTTATTTTCCTCCTCTAAACAATATACATACACACATTTTGTGTACCTGGGAATCCCTTGTGTATGCAGAAACCACTCCTGCATCTTTTGGATGGCCCTATTTTGCTGCTGAAGGGACAGTGGAGTGTTACCTTGCACATGTGCAGTGGCTTCATTTGTAGTGTAGGACCAATAGCAGGCACTGTGAAAGCTTTGTGTGTGAATGCTAATGCATGTGGAGTGTGCTGCTTCATTCCCTAATAAAAGGGCCATTGAGATGGCTAGCATAATTTGGCCAGCTGCATATGACAAAACTGTCCACTTGAGTTTGGCCTTTCTATTGACATGCAGGTGAGCCGATTACACCAGAATAATGTGTAGTCTGTGCTAGGCATAGTTGAAGAGTTTGAATGTTGTGCAGTCTAATTCCAATTGATCTGATCCATGTTTGGGCATCAGAATGTAGTTGTGTGTTTGTTGGCTGTTGCACTTACTAAATATTATGACGTAGATGAAAAAACAAAAGTATTGACATGTCTCTAGAAATGCATATATTGAGAAGGAAATACATCTAACTTGAGGGAGGGTTTATAGGAAATCACTGCAACAGAATTTGCCATCTAGTTGCAAAGTTGAGTGGAATTTCTTGCTTGTAGTTTAGTGCAGGAACATACTTATAGCAACCTGCTAAACTGCCTTCAAGTCCTGCTAAAGACTGTAAATATTGGCTTTATGTGATAAAAGGTGTAGGTTTATGTACCCTTATGCATTGCTTTACCGGAGTAGTTTCAGGTACCACTGAAACTTTGTGCACTGAGATATTTGTTGTTTTCTCTCCCTCTCTGTCTTCCTGTCTTCCTTCCTTCCTTCCTTCCTTCTCATATTACAAATGGATGAGAAAAAGCTTAGCCAGATGGGGGAGCTATAGAAACCAACATGAAAATGTATACCACCATTGATTTTTGACTAGCATGACTATTTTTAAAATCTGATTTATTACCTTCAAGCAGACAGAATAGCTGGTATATCTTGTACACTAGAAATAATTTAACTTTTGTATGGTTAATATCAACTAACTTGCTTGTAGATTTATAACTTCCAACCTGCCTAGAAAACTAAAGCCTGAACCTGAACATCTAGTGAGCAAGAGTTAGTGCATGACTTTTACGTCATAAAAGAGACTGGTACAAAGCAAGCCGAGTTGCAAATGGAATGATGTTTTGCTGTTCTCTTGCACGCCTCCGCCTTGCACTTGAGAGTGGAGACTGTGTACTAGTAGTCAGGCATACATGTTTTGCTTCCTTGACCAACATTGATCAAAATGTTCCATAACAGCAGTAGGGACATTCAGAGCACCCCGATTAAACTAAAAAATCAGAGTGAAAAAAATAAGATGTTCATCATACTGTAGAAGGCAAACTGTGCATAAGAGAAATCACATTTAGAAGTGTTGAAACTTTTCATTCTTTCAAAAGAACAATAAGTTAAGAAAAGCCATGCAGGATCAGACTAAGGTCCCTCTGGTCCAGCACTCCACACATGCGGTGGAAAACCAGCTACTCACCGGATTGTGCAAGACCCCCTCCTGCCCGAGCTCCTCAGCAAGGGGTGTATGCAGGCAGGCCACCTCTGGTGAAGGGGGTGACACATAGCCAGCAAACTGCTAGCCACTACTAGCCCTCATGAATCTGCCCAATGCCCTTTCAAAGCCATACAAGATTTGAGTATGTACAATGCAAATGCTTTTCCAAATTGCTAAAACCGGAGGCTTGCTTGCTTGCATTTATAAACCATCATTCTCTACTTCTTATTTTATTTACAGTTATCGCGAACATGAATACTCACAATGGTATGTTAAAGAAGGATAGAGTTATGTCTCTTTACTACTTAGTATCACTGCATAGCAGTCACAAGAAGACTGCATTTGGATGTAACAAGCAATCATGGCTTGTTTAGGCCAACTTTTTTGGCTTTTTTTGTAGCCACTAAATACAGCCTTCTAAAACCAAGGTTTGAAATTTGCTTGTGAATCTCTGCTTACATTCCCTGTGGCTTGTCATTTAAATCAGAACGTGCTGTCCTGGCTTAATCATAACTTCTTTGATGTTCCACCCAAGCTCTTGACTGGCAAGTGACATGGTTAGAAAGTACAAGTGGCCGTGTGAATATGCACCTTTCCCCAGGCCTGCCCTCCATCCTCCCCCTCCTTGGTAATAGGCTCCTTTCCCTACCCACCTCCACACTGACAAGCTGTCCTTTTATAGCCTCCCCGGTAGCTTCAGAAGGGCTGTTTCATTCACATCAGTCTTTGACTTGCCTCAAATTTTTAAAGGACAATTTCACAAAAGCCCTCTTGAACAGAAAAAGACAATATTGACTTTTTTCCTCCCTTTGCACATAAATGTACTTTGTGCTCTGTTTCTGGGAAGTCTGTGATGATTAGCACCTCTGGGCAAGAGCTATCTTAGGAAGTCAGAAAGTGCATGGAGAATTGCTCCCTCAAGACAATCATGCTGGAGCCCAGGTGAGAAGATTGTGAAGAGTGGGTGAAACCATCTGTTTGGAAAGGAAAAAGGAAATCCTATCTTGTGCTCCTTGGAACAGAGGCAAATACTCTCATTCACCCTTTCCCAACCTTGTGCCCTTGCCAATGTTTTGGACTAGAGCTTCAATAAAACTCAGCTAGCTTGGCCAATGGTAAAAAAGTAATGGGCGGGGGGGGGGGGGAATAGTTCAAAACATCTGAAGGGTACCAAGTTGTAGAAGACTGTCCTGATGTTTAAAATCCAGTCTGTGGTTATTGGGACTTATGTGGGTCACGTTCTGTGCCACAGCCAGGCTAGCACAACTTGGCTCTGGCAAGGAGAACTGCACTTACGCGAGTTTGCTTTGTTGTTGTTAATGACTTCCGGAATGCCCTGCCACTGTTGTCCCAAAGGTCCAAATATTGGAATGAAGAAGAGATAGTGGTCTTGGTTGAAAGCGACATTGCTCTGTAGAGCAACTAGGTGGTGTTTAAGTAGCTCGTCAAAAAAGTGGTGCTTGATTTGTTCAGCCCAGCAGTGTAGTGAGAAGATTAAAAAAAAGAACAGGAAGAAATCAGCCCTGTATGTTGCATGCCATTCTATGATAACATTCCTTCTGGATGGAAGAGGTTTCTGGGGGCAGACCTCTGGTTTACTAGGAC